CCAGAGTATTCTCCGACTATCGACTAGTGCTGATTGGATAGGAATCAGCCAATCAGCGTGCACCAAAACAATCATGCATTGAGTATGCTTCAATCTAACACTCAGATAGAAATTTTCATCTGAAGTTTGTGCTGTGCTGATGATGATGATGTCGTTCAGAAGAACGATGAAAGCTCCACGATCAAACCATCTAGCTCAGAGAACAAAACTTCATCAAAATCATTCACTTGAGCTACCAATCTTCTCCATCATCTCAGGATTAAACATGAATAGGGAAAATCGAATGTATTTGACATGAAATTATTGAGCATTTTACTAAAATCTCAGAACTATATAGTAAATAGTTAGTTTGCAAAATATCAATCCATCGTTTTAAACTTGACTGTTCCTTTTGTAAATAACAATCCATTGTCTCAGATTTCATTGTTCATGTATTTTCATACCAATTGCATTACGTTCCCATTGTTTCCTTATCGATCCTCTGCTGAAATACATTCAATGCCTGACCACCGTTATATACTACTTATATTTATACAAGTAACTCACACCACAGTAGTACATACCCACGACGAAACATAATAGACTGAACTTATGATCTTAGAACTGTTTAGCGAATACAATACTTTTAGTTTATCTAATGTATAATTCAATTTATTAAAGTACAAATTTATATGTATTCAGTCCTAAGTTAAATTGTTTGTTTACAAGAGGTCTAGGTATATTACTATACTGTTTGAACTAAACCATTTGATGGGTGGGTTTTAATTCTCGACTTATTGGTCAATCATTTAAACCATAAATTATTTGAATTGAAATCCTGTAATCTAAATGCTTAATAATTATAATAATAGTTATACCTTCATTGGCTTCATACTGTGTATATGCAGAGAACATAAACAAATCAGAAACTTGGCATGACTACTCTTCAGATTGAATATTTGAAAAGCATTAAAATTCTTAATGTAATTTCCATCAGATGGTGGTTGGAAGTAGTCAACAGGAAACCATGAATCTGGGTTTCGTGCTACTTGGCACTCGTCAGCAAAATATACCTGTAATCTTGGAGAACTGGTGCTCCCTGACGGATTCGATTTCATGTCAATAACATTGGATCTGCACTAAAAAGGACTTGACACACATGATATTGATCACCACCCAGTGATCAATCAATTGTGATTACATCTCTGTCCTACAGGAAGTCTGTCGCGGCCCGGATAGCCCAGTGGTTATGTCTCTGACTATGAAGCTAGGTGACACAGGGTCGAATCAGTCAGGGTGGGGGGCGTCAGTTCCCTCATGTTTACAGGCACACCTTGGTGACGAGTGCCAAGTAGCACGAAACCCGGGTTAACAGGGTATCCTATTGACTACCTCCAACCACCATGTAGTCTCAACATTGTGCACCCAATGTCGAGTTACTTAGACTAGTGGCCACATTGCAACTTGGTCGATAGAATTCGATCTGCACTAAGAAGGACTTGACACATGACATTGATCACCACTCAGTGATCAATCAGTTGTGGTAATTTCCATTGTAAATTTGCTTTTTGTTTCAGTTGATTGAAATATGTGTTAAGTATCAATTCATCCATGATATGCAATTTCGGCTGGATTAAAAGTAAGTTGCATCAAATCAAGATATGACATGAATTCATGAAGTTATCGACTGTTAGTATAAGTCATCTTGATAGGTCGAATCTATCTTCTTGTAAATATGTACAACTATCATTACCAGTTGTTTAACATATTATATGAAATGGCTTAGAATCAGTTACAATGACACATTATATATTCCACTAGATCTTATCTTTCAGTATTCTTCTATTCACACTTTTCTAATTTCATCGTTTCGAATCATTTTGATATTCATCTATCATAATAATCAGTTATTTGTGTTCCTTGGTCTTTTCTTAATAAATCAATACACTATCTTAGTTGTGAAATTATTAAACTTTTTATAAATTTTATGCCCGACCGTTGTTGCTACCTTGACGTGGTGGTCGGGCTTGCCTATCGTGATGAAGCAACCGAGCTATACTGGCTAGAACAACCGTTCCTCAAGGTCCTACCACGTCATACAGGCAAGTTGGTTGAAGAGTGGTAAGACTAAAAGCAACAAACTCAAGGTCCGAAGGCGAAGTCGGACTGCTGACTGTACAGAGGTGTGACAGCGGTAAGGTGTTTCCTTCAGACAACCAGCATGACAGCGATGCTGCCTTCCCACAAAAAGTGGTGAGGTTAGAAAAGGTCGACCCTAGAAATGCACACCTCGCCTCATCCCACGGATATCCATTTCCGGTGGTACGGTCTGAACAAGTACGGAGCTAACAAAGAAATTACTCATCAAAAGATCATATATGATCGACCTCAAGCAGTTGTCCCTTGGGCACTGTGGTCACACTCTCAGGTCACTAAGACCACCTCTAATCCAATTTCCTTTTCAGTTGCATCTAGAAGGACCCTTCCATGGTGTGGGCAACCGGGAAATGATAACCGCCCTCATACCTCTAGCAACAATCAAGACTGACTGAAATTTTATGCGTTATCATCTTTTTATTTTTATTTTTTAATGCTGTTTATATACAACCACCCGGATTATGAATCAAACTCATGTAATTTACTTCACCGTCTATGATTCTAAGGTTTTATAATGAGTGAAAGAATTAGTTCTTATAAGAGTTAAGACAATATCTAATTATTATCATCATTAGTTTTAGAGATAATTCTTAGAGTACCTTATTTATTGATATTTTTTTCAATAAAACTTATTTAACCTTGGTGATTAGCGAAGGTATCATGCAGTACTCTTGTTATAATGTAACTACCGCTGTGATATTATTGTATTTAGTAAACATGTACTCTCAGATATATATATATTTTTTTTCATGTTTATTACTGATCTGTCAATATTAATAGTAATAATAATAGAACGTAAACAGCATGATATTGATGAATGTTAAATGAGTATGTCAATATTTCGATTATACCTCTGGAGAGTTTATTTTTAAAGTATCTGTGGTTGTGATACGAAGTAACCCTAGTTTTTGAATATAATAAGAAGGGTGCAATAGTTCCTGTTAAGATTATTGATACATTTTCACTTATTGTGTGGGTTATCTAATCAGGAAGCTTAAATCTAATACGAACCTTGTTTATGGTCGTTTCTAACCATTTGGTGTCAAACACTTTATTCATCCTCCCGTTCGTAATCAATGACGATTTCTGTTTTGTTTATTTGAAACGTTTTTGTAGAGAATGACTTGATTTTCAGGTAGTATTCGCCATAGATTGATTTCATTTAGGATAATAAGGAACCTGTCTGTTTTGAATTCGACCCCTAATGGTCTTATGGATTCATATTGCTGAAAGGTCGTACACTAAAATTAGACAGCTATCAAATGCCCTCAAGTTTTCGGTGGTGTTCCAATTGAAATCAGTATGTGACGAATCGAAACTACAAATTTTATCACATGTTTAACTAGGTAGTTGATTAGGCTCGCATCAACCACCCACTTTTTAGAAAGTTTCTCTACCTAGACCTAAATATAGTGTTTGTGTCAGCCCCCAAATGCCGTTGTACGGCCGAGAGTGGGGAGAGTCCACTCTCCCTCTCCAAATGCTCTCACATGACCACGCGTATATCAAATGAGATTTGTGTGGCGCATATGTATTTGGTGCCTCCTTAGTGTTTGTGTTAAAACTGGTCATATATTAAATGCTTTCTACTAGTTTAAAAAGAATGTAAAGATATTTTTCTTCAATGGAAGAAGTCATCCGACGTTACAATGAGCACAATAATAAAAAAAACTATAATCCATATGAGATAAAGTATGAGTGTAAAATTATGAAACTAAGCATTGTGTTTGTGTATTTGTTTTTGGTATGTCAATTTTATTACGTAATACTGACAATAATGATGTGAATAGCGTTCTTTTAAAGACTGTAGAATTTTCATAGTTTCTAAATCATAAACTGATCTTAACTAGACAACCATTGAAATCTAAGAAGCACTTGACAGTTAGTTGCTTCTACACCTTATGTACTAATAATGATCCTGCACTCACTACTGAGTAGCTTTACGATGGAACTATTGGAGTTCTACTGAAACGCTTTGAGCAACGAAGTTCAGCTGTGTCGGGTATAAGAGAATAATCCATTTCAAGCAATGAAAGATAGTCGTGCAATATTGGAAATTGATTGAAGTACGTACCGTAACAAATGCCGGTTCAATGATCTAGAGGTTAAGTGATTGCACTCGAGATCAAATGTTGTGGCATCGATCCTCCGTGGTCGTGTCGTAAATGCACATTTCCATACTAAGACGAGACAATAGTCCAGTGCTTTCTAGCTTTCCATGATGGTCTAGGTAATATCAGTTTGTTATTTTAGATATAAATAATGGGAATTTTAATTTTGTTGATAGCAGTTTCGTTACTAATTGTTAAATATATAGTCGTCTTCAATCTCATCATAAACATCATTAAGTTGGCTTACCGTACTTTTTAATGTTTATATTATGGAGTGAGAAAGTCTTTTTTTTAAGTTCTAATCTCGTTCTAATAATGACAATGGTAATAATATTATTAGTAGTCATGCTTATTAAGAGTATCTGACTGACCAACAAATCAGTGTAGAATATACCATCAAAGAATGTATATAAATGCACATTGTTACACTTAACAGTATTGCCATAAAAAAGAACTCCACAATAAAGAAACGAAGTTGAAATAAGTCAAATGAAAGTATGTTGTCTATGACAAAGCTGAATAAAAGTCAACAGAATGAACAGTATTGATTAACTTCATCTGTGTGTTGAAAGTGGACAGCCTAACCAAGATGTACAACATCAGTCTGTAAAGTTATCGACTATTGAAATGAACCACACTGTAAATATATCAGTATTGTTTGATTTAAACACTTATAATAAGCCCTTTTTTCAATACTTCTCATTATTTCTAATCTCTATCAATTTTCTTCTGTTGTCTCGTTGATCTCTTTAGATGGACAAGCACCAACATTTGATGAATCGGAAGGACAAGCTGGTTGGATTGAAGGTTTAGCCATTCTAATTGCTGTATTTGTTGTTGTATTTGTTGTGGCATTGAATGATTGGCAAAAAGAACGACAATTTCGTGGTTTACAAAATAAAATTGAATCAGAGCATACATTTTTTGTTATACGTAAAGGTGATACTAAACAAATTCCTGTAAAAGAAATTGTTGTTGGTGATGTATGTCAAGTGAAATATGGTAAGTTGATTGTTTAGCAGATTACGATATTTTTCAGTATGTGGTTGTGGAGATTGCTGAATTTTGTTGAAGTTACGAACTGTTCCAAATTAGACGACCATCAACTTAGGAGCACAGGACAGCCGTTTCATCCTAGCATAGGTCTTAGCAGTACGGATCCACAGTCCCGTAACCGGGAATCGACAATTACCATATGGTCACTGGCTACTGAGGAGCTTCGTACTAAGATGAATCGATCGTTAGTGCTCTCAGGTTTTTGATGACTGTCTAATGTAAATCGGCTCTTGATGTCAATATTAAGCTTTTCATGTACCATTAAACAAAGAACAATATGAATTGGAAATAGAGCAAAGGATATGAATGACAGTGATTTAAGCAGTTATGTTCAATTTTCTTTTCCATTTACTCAAAATTGTTATCACTAGTAATCTTCATATGCAAGAAGTATAGCTCATAGCTAAATATTTATGTAAAGAGAGAGGTTAATAAGTGACAGACAAATCAGCTTATTTGGATTCAATGTCTCAATTGGAAGATCAAAGAGATTCGTTATAAAGTAAATAGTAAATGAATCAGCATTCCCTCCAAATTAATCACATTTGATGAGAAAAGCTTTTGGTCACAGATTGTTATCAGCTAAATGAGTATTAGTAACCAAGATATATACTAGACACATTTGTTTGGTTTTCTGTGACTTGAAAGTAAACACAGGATGAGTGCTTAATTAACATGAGTCACAGTTCACTATGCTATTGATTCTTTTAGACTAGTGGTCATTTATTGTAATTCTGTCTATAAAATTCGCCTAGCACTAATAACTAAACATTGTGATATTGGTTAATGCTACTGACTGACATAAGTAGTATATGATGTTAGTCGTAAACAGAAGGTCTAGCAGCAGAGAAACAAGGGGATCGAACAGTAAAGAATGGAAGCAGAATGTAATTTATATGAAAATGCAAGAACAATGAAGTCTGAGTCATTTTGAGACATTTGATGGACATTTTGCAAATGACGTATTTACTATTTGATTGTTAGATTTTATTAACAAGTCCTATAATTTGTGTTAAATACATTCGATTGTCCCCACCCGTGTTCTGTTCACTACACTACTACTACTGTGGTGTACACTACTTTTGCGGACAGTAGTAGGAATTGGATGTGGAATGCTTACCAGCATAAGATTGAAATAAAGAGAAGAGGAAGGAAAACAAAAAAAGAGTTGGGATGACAACAGAATTGGAAGAATGATGGGGTATCTAAAGGACAACCGAAGGAAAATGTGCAAATAATGTATTCAAAGTATGATTTACATAATTTGCAAAGGCACTATGTGATTTTGCATTTCTTCATTCACAACACTACTACTACTGCTACTTCTGTTCAGTAGTCGATCAGTGTTGTTATTCAAATGATCCAAGTTTATTTTCGTCAAACATTATGATAGTACATATCACACTGTTTACTGTTATTCATATGCATTCAATAGTATGTATAACCGTACACTTTAATCATATAATGTAAGAAATTTATGTTTAATAGTTGCTCAATACTTGAAATAATCTAGGGCGGTGCCTTATGTGCACATTGTCTATTCAATCTACATATTTTTTTGCAATAGCTGTGACTTAACTATTCTTGTTTAATTAAGGTCAAATGTGTGAAATTCCCGCTACGACTATTTTGTTGATAGGAAAAACAAACAGATTTACTCATAATAAACCAACAAACAGCACAATGAGGTGTGGTTTATCATCGATGTCTACTTGTATATAAGTATGTGTACATGATTTATGAATTATTCCAGTGAATTAATTGGTTAGGTCAATTTAAATGATCGAAACTAACTGAACATGAGAAATTTGTAGTTTACCTAATCATAGGTTTATTACCGATAAAGGTAATATTATATAATCAAATACAATATTTTCACGCTTTTTTGAATCAGTTTTGCATGACCTGGCATGACCCATATACCCCATTGACCAATCACAAACAGAATTGCAAAATAAACCGGTCTACTTCTACATTACGAAGTAAAAGGTTGATGATGTTGTCCAGCAATTAATAATTAAAGTTTACCTAGTTAAACCAATCACTTCAATAAATGTAATACCTTTAAAATGATACTTGGCAAAAACGTTTCTAAAACTAACTATGGTTTAAAACCTCCTTCTACTTTAGTAAATTTGATCAATAGACAACTAATAAATGAGAAAATTGATCGAAATTCGACAAAGAGAATTTGAGGTGACTTATGTTGTTAATTCAACTTCTATATTCCCATATAATGGGATCGCTGCATTATTGAATCCACTAATGAGGAGTTCTCCTTGAACCAATAATGCTGATAAACTTCGCCTAACCAATAAAAACTATGAACACCAATTACTATTGGCTGTCCTAACACTTATTGATTCACATGGATTCTTCTATACCTGATGTCGAGTCAGAAAAGGAGAACAGGAAGTTGATTTGCCGTCTATTCTTGCGACTTCAATACTCAGATGGTTTAATGTTAATAATGTACATCAATCACACAACCAAAAGTCACCATAAAGGACAAATCAACATCTGCGCATAATTAAATCATGTGTAGTAGAAAATGAACAATACGTACTTAACTTATTAATTGTAATTTCTTAAGAGTAAAATAATGTGAATACAGTTAATGAATTGAATGAAGGTTTACAATTAGAACGGGATATAAAGACACTTTAAAAGTGTAATCTGAACCATAAGAACAAACCAATGGTGAATGATTGAGTCGTTTCAAGGTCACTGTACACGAATCAAGTGAACACGTCATCTACGGATGATGAAATGTATGAAGTAACTGAGGGACGGTTGGCAGCTGGATTACATTATGAAAAATTATAACGTTTCTAAAAACAAAGCAATTATTATATAGAGTTTCGGTTTAAATTAGGGTTCCAATGTAGCGTTTAGTGTTTGGTTAGAATTATGATACGGAATTTAGTGCTAGGGTTAGAGTATTAGCTTAGGACTAGAGTCATTGAGAAGAGATCCCTTCTCTGAAATGGGAATTCTATGTCAATTCATTATAATTAACAATAGTGAGATTGAATCTAGATTTCAGATTGTTTTTATCATTAAAATACTCGATTTACAATCAGTGAATTACAGATTCGAGGAATATTCTTCTTCTTCTTGTTCATTGTTCGATTTAGCTACGGTTTTTTTTTGTCATAAAAAAAATAATCCCACACATTGAAGCTAAACAGTTTAACTTAGTAACCAAACAATATGTCCCTAATATTATTCATAAATACCTAATTTACTGATTACTTGCTTAATCTTGATGTAAAATACATTAATCAATCATTAAATAGTTTGCATAGTTTGAATAGTTTCATATATATGTGCGAGTGACTTGATAGAATTCTCATTTTTTCCCATTTGCCCTACTATATGCAAAAAGGATAAGAATGGGTATTTATTATTATTACTATTTTTTAGACCCCATTCCCCACATACTCTCTCTTTCTCTACCTAATGATTATATTCTCGTGCCTATGTGTGTGCAATATACAAACATTATACATACATCATTGGCTCTTATGGCGTCTTACATTTCGATATTAAAAAATCATTAATTTTTGGTTTGTATATTAAACTAATGTATAAATATATTCACTGTTGAAATCATGGGTCAAGCTAAGCTAGGCCGCCATTAAATACGTGAAAGCATTGAACAACCGTTCCATCCTAGAACGGGACTCTTGAACAGTACATATCCACCAACTCGCACGCGGGATTCGAACCCAGGACCTTCCGTCTCGCTCGCGAACGCTTAACCATATATATATATATATATATATATATATATATATATATATATATATATATATATATATATATATAATGCGGAATAAAGTTTTCTAGTCTATAGTTGTTTCAATCAGTATTCCACTTTGTTAAGAAAGTCTTATTGACCACTTACAGGTTGATAATTGTATTTGTATATTTGCAGAATATGTGTTGTTCTATTTATTGTCTTATTGTGCATAGAATATATATATATCTACCCCTTTCGTACGTTCTCTGTTTTACCGTACCTGTACGTAAGTGTGAGTCGTAAATATCGTCATATTTACATTTCTGTATCGGTAGTTGTCTTATGGTGATCGAACTGAACTGATTCGTTAATTCATTTCATCACCTCACCTTGTATATATAGTGAAGTGCACACAACCATAGCTAAAGATCAGTTGGCTTTCTATAAGATTATCGAGAGCGATTATATAAACGAACAAGAAAAGTGCTAATTTGGCCCCTATAGATATACCCATATATGTGAACTAAGGTACGTACGTGCATAAATATGCTTGAAATCGATCTCATACGACCCTCCTAAAAGAAGTTTTCACTGTGTCAGCATCATACTTTTTAGTCCTTTCTTCAAGCAACAGGAATCTGTCGACTAAGATGAAGTGTACCTATTCTAGGGTCAACCTTTTCTCACCACCTGCTTTTGTTGTGTAAATACAGTATTGGTGTTTGTAGGAAACATCTTACAGTTCCTACACCTTAATAACATCATCAGTACGGACCATGAGTTTGTTACATCTAGTTTTACCACACCAACTCAAATATCTTTTATTGTAGGACCTAAATAAAGCAAATATTTTAACCAATCCATTTCGATCGGTATCTTTGCTTGATCATTACATATCAAGGTATGAGTTACCGTAGAGAAGCGGTTACACTTTTATCTATCTTATTCAATGAAATACCATTATTTCTTATTACGAATAGTTACGTGATATTATTTTTCTAATTTTCTTTTTCAATACCCCCCCAAAAAAAATTCCTTACTAGGTGATCTCCTACCAGCTGATGGTATAGTGATACAATGTAATGATTTAAAAATTGATGAAAGCTCTTTAACTGGTGAATCGGATCAAGTAAGAAAAAGTGAAACAAAAGATCCTGTCCTACTTTCAGGTAATTTCTTTAATTGGTTTTTCTTTTTTTTCTTGCTTTAAGTCCATTTTGAAAATTCTATTATTCCCCCGCTTCACATTCACACACACACAAACGAACAACGATACCATCATACTTATGTCTTTCAAATTTGAACAAAAATAAGTAGAGACTAGTGAATGAAAATAATTTGTTGAATAAAATCAAGTTATCAGTGTATACTGTTCATGGCTTCCCATCATATATTGTTTACAAAACTTGTCTACTGTTGTGAATGGTTATACTGATTAGAAGTAATGATTTGACAGATATATTATGTTTTTGATTGAGATCATGAACCGATTGATGTTAGACCACCTTTTGGAAACCTAGAAGCACTGGACGGCCGTTTCGTCCTATTGTGGGACTTCTCAGAAGTGGAGCTAATCCATGTCGGGTAGAGACAGGTATCTACCTCAGTACAACGGAAGTTGGTCGCGCAATTTTGTGGATTGGTTGAGGTTAGACACTATCACCATTGGATGCTGGCTCAGTGGTCCAGTAGGTTAAGCGTTCGTGCACGAGACTGAAGGCCCTGAGTTCGGATCTCGCGAGTGGGATCCTGGATGCGCACTGCTGAGGAGTCCCACAATAGGATGAAACGGCAGTCCAGTGCTTACAGGTTTGCAAAAGGTGGTCTAACATCAATCGGTTCATGATCTCAATGAAAAACTTAATAATCTCCACAACCCCTATACTAGATACATTATGTAATGAATCAAGTTAAGATAGATATTCAAAATAGAATGAAGAGTTAGTCAAGCCAGAAAATACAAATTACAACAGTATTTATCTATTTGTTTTCGATTTGTGTGAGGGCTTCGATATTGCTCAGGTGCCCCATATCGAAGCAAGTGGTTTACTTAGGGGGTCAACACCCCGAGACTTTGACTTAGAGGCCTACTCCATAAGTCAGTGAAGAAACGTTAGGAGATGCAGTCCCATGGTAGTCAGTAACCAACAATAGGTTCATACTTCATTTGTTCCCTTAGGATCCTATAGCCCATGCAAACCACTGGTTTAGAATCAGGGTTTTCTAACTCCTCTAGATGGATTCACCGTATCCACCAACCTGGCTAAAGCGCCGGACATTTGCTTTTCGTCCTCTCAATTTCGTAAAAAGCACCCGTGATGCGAGAAGGCACTAAGTAGGACTTCCCTGTCGGTCGTTGTATGCACGTGGTCATGTGAGAGCATTTGGAGAGGGAGAGCTGACTCTCTCCACTCTTGGTCGTACTAGGGCATTTACGGGCGTGTTGTTCGTACTCTTAAATTCGTTACTCACTTATTAAATAAACAAAGAACTGCTTGAAAATGCCAGATATGACATTTTTGTTGTACTTCTCACAAATCTTTGTGTTACGTCTTTGATTCATCTACACAATAATATATAGGTGAAAACTTGTCTCGATCTAGGTTTAGGCCTTGACACGATAGGCCAACTGATGTCAACCTTGAGGTTAGAAATGTGTGAGTCCGAATTGTGACGACTTTGGTCGGAGAGACGAAGCTATTCTATCAGCTGATTGGTTGACAGGCGAGAGAACGAGAAAGAAAATGAGCCAACTGAAATACTACTTGATTTATTCCGGATTCCCAATTCAGATTAATGTAAAAAGATATATGAATTAATAGATGAATAAGACGACCACCTAGTACAAACAATTAGACAAACACAATGATGTGTAAAGTAAGCATTAGGCTAGAAAAATAATGTATTAAAGGTTATGTTTAAATTACACTAGCTTTGGAATAGAAACTGATACGGTAATAAATCACACATTAAATGAAAGCTTATAATTTATGGAATAAACTAGGGACAAAACTAAATATAAGTACTTGACAAACTTTGAATAAATGGAAACGACATCTTCAAAAAAATAGCTTCCGTTCATTGTTATGACTTCATGATTTCTCTGTTTATATCATTTTGTTATATAAAATAATTGGTTGAAGTTAAACATTAACACCGTTGCATGCCGGCTCAGTGGTCTAGTTAGTTAAGTGCCTGGTGCGAGACTGACAGACCCTGGGTTCGAATCTCACGGGGTGCGTGATTGTGGATGCGCACTGTTGAGAAGTCCCGTACTAGGACGAAACGGCCGTCCAGTGCTTCCAGGTTTTCCATGGTGGTCTAGCTTCAATCGACTCGTGATTTCAACCAGTGAAACAAAATAATTTGTTAAATAAACACTGTTCTCTCTCTCTCTTCAATTCAATCAACTTGAATTAGTCCTTTTGTGTTGATGACCTGTTTTACAAATAAAATTAATAACTATAATTGATAAGAGGTTAAAGTTATTGATAAAGCGATGTGAATTTAGTTATTTGGTTATGTGAAATGAATTTTTTGTAATAGAAACTTTTTAATTCCATCATGATTATTTCACAGTTGAGCTCATTTATCTTTCACTCACTCACTCACTCACTCACTCACTCACTCACTCACTCACTCACTCACTCACTCACTCACTCACTCACTCACTCACTCACTCACTCACTCACTCACTCACTCACTCAATTTCTACCATGATTTGCGTGTAAGTTTTTTTCACAGGTTTCTTTTCTATTTAATGTATGTGTACGTGTACGTGTATGTTTGTAATAAGGATTAAGAAAAGAATAAAACCGATTGACTGACTACTTGACATTATTACAGTTCGTAGTAGTCGTATTCATGGTAGCAGTGATGTATTCGTCACGTATTAAATATTCACTTATTTTTCATAAAAAAACAACAACTATAGTTTAAGATATAAATGGTTAAATGATGTATGATGTTACTTTTGTGTATTCTTAGTGTTTAGCTGTGGTAGTGTGTGCATTCATGACCTCACTGGAGATCGAATTCAAGATGTCCAAGATTTATGGAGGAGTTAGTATCCAGTAGTTAACATGGTTTTCGATGGTTGTCAAATTAAAGTCAATTAGTCAATTATTGATATCTAGAGAAAATCCTGTTATGTTATTCTGTTCATGTGTTTCGTCTATAGTTTAAAGCCTTCAACTGTAACCAATAAAACATTTTGACTCCTATTGGTTTCCCAAATGATAACTCTGTATAAGAGGATATAACAGACAAACTTCTATTATGTATATTTTAAGTACACATTGTAATTATCTCAAGTACTCATTTATTTCTATGCCATTCTTTACACACAATCATGTCATAAGTGTGGCAACTCGAACTGATGTACGTACGTATGAAGTTCTACGTTGTTACTGACTGACTGACTGACTGACTTATCAAAAGATCAAACAAAAAATGAACATTACACAATTTGAGTTTCATTTAAATTGATAGACTTCGATCTTCTTTCTTTTTTTCTTTATTTTTTAATCATAAGTAAACATATTTATTTTTCTTCCCTATAGGCACTCATGTTATGGAAGGTTCCGGTAAAATGGTTGTTACTGCCGTTGGACCGAATTCACAAGCTGGTATAATATTTGCTTTGCTATCTTCTGGTTCTCATGATGAACATGGTGGCGGTGGTCAAGAGAACAAAAAAGAGAAAAGTGAGTCATTTGTTCTTTTTTTTTTAAACCATTAACATAGTACCTTGTCTGAGTATTTGTTATTGTTGTTATTCTTATTTACTTACACTTGTTACTCCTCATGGAGAAGCATAGGCCGCCCACCAACATTCTCCATCCAACTCTGTCTTGGGCAATCATTTCCTGTCGCTATTCATCCTTTGGATGTTTGGTTCCAATTCCCGAGATAGTGTATTATTTGTATTTCCTCTTTTCCGTTTACCTCCAGGATTCCAAGTTTAAAACCTTTTATCAGTATTTAATTAATTATTCCAGTAGAGAATGAGATCGAACACAAGATTTTGAAATTTCATTGCAAGTTCCGATTATCATCCGGTTGAAATCCAATCGTTCAATTTACAAAGGATTACTTCAGTTATCATTGTTTGTCTCATGTATGACCATATTTGTGAAAGCTAAGTTGTTTATTAGTACGTTACCTTGGATATAACCTCCTTTTTTTCAAGTCATAGTAAAGAACAGTCACTAGTGTAAAATTAAATGATCATTTATCTTTCTTTTTTTTATTTAGGCAAAACTAAAAAGAATGGTAAAAAAGGGAAAAAGAACACTAACAAAGTACCATCTGCTAATTCCGATGCTTATCAAATGAAATCAAAGGAGAATAAAACAAAAACTGAATCTGATACAGAACAGACTTCGAAACCGAAGAAAAAACCACGTCGTAAAGAACAATCTGTGTTACAAGCAAAATTAACTAAATTAGCCATACAAATTGGTTATGTTGGTTAGTCACTATTTATTTATTTTATTATTACTTAATTTATATAAACATACAAATAACTGAATTTGTGTGTAGACTGGGATATTGCTTGGGTTCTCAAGTCGGAGCAGATGGTTTTGTTAGGGGACCGCTTTCCGAACCTTTGACGCAGGTCAAATCCACAAGGTAGTGGAACAACATTAGGGGATGCGGTTCCACGCTATCCAGTGACCTGTGCGATAATGCCCAAGGCATGCAATCCGCACTTAATCAGTTGGCAATCAGTGTCCGTAGGTATGATATGTGCTTTGCACCTTCGAAGTGCAAAGTACTCCTACAAGACTGGCAGGATTCCAATCCTGTACTCACCCTGGATGGTGAGCAGATAGACGTAGTCGAGAAGTTCGTGTATCTGGGTAGCTGCATAAGTGCTGGTGGGGGTGTGAGTGATGAGATCAATGCACGAATAGTGAAAGCCAGAGCGGCTTATGCCAATCTGGGCCACCTTTGGCGCCTTCGTGATGTTAGTCTGGCTGTATAAGGTCGGATCTACAACGCGTCGGTGAGAGCAGTTCTGCTCTATGCTTGTGAAACCTGGTCTCTCCGAGTTGAGGATGTTAGACGACTCTCTGTGTTCGATCATCGTTGTCTCCGAAGGATTGCTGACATTCAGTGGCAACACCATGTCAGTAATGCAGAGGTTCGGCATCGTGTGTTCGGGCACAGAGATGATAATTCAATTGGTGTCACCATCTTGAAACACCGACTTCGGTGGCTTGGACATGTTCTCCGAATGTCGTCCCAGAGAATTCCACGTCGTGCATTATTTGCCGACTCTGGGACTGGTTAGAAGAAGCGGAGAGGTGGTCAGTGTATGAGATGGTGTCGTGGTATGAAAGAAAGCTGCAAAGGACTGGCTTCTGTTGGTCCTCTACGACTACCTGGTTGGGGTCCGAGAGATGGTACAATACAGTGGCTAGAGACGTTATCAGATATAGCTCAGAATAGAAGCCAGTGGGGATCCTGCTGTAATCTTCTTTTACTTTCTTCATAAAAAGTAGTTGTGTCTCCCTTACCTGAAAGATTTCTTCCGATTGTACCTTTGCGTTCCCTCATTACTACCACACTACCTTACACCAATCTCTTCGTTATTGTTCTCTTTTTTTTCTATTTCTCTTCGAATTCTCATTGTTTTGTGTGGCGCATATATATTGGCGCTCTCTTGTACCAATATTTATGTGTTCAAATAAATAAATAATATCCAGTGACCGAAAACAGATTCATACACCATTTTTTCTAACTCAGGATTCTAGAGCATATGTTCATCGTTGATTTGAAATTAGGGTTTTTTTTAAACTCACCTAGGTGGATTCTCCGTACTTATCTACCCGGTTTAAACGCCGGACACTTACTTGTCATCCACAGTTTTATCGTTTACTTTTGCTGTTTCCGCTCACTACCAATGATATAATAGTAGCAACTATTATCATTCTGAATTAATTTTTAAAGAATTTCAAGTGATGAAGTAGATTCAAAACAATTTAGATGAACGCTTTTTCATGGTTTAGTATTCTTTGGATTAGATGGTTTAATTATAAAGTTTGACTTATCATCCTGGAAAAGATCATCAGCGCCCAATTGGTGTGGTGGTATACTTGTGATTCTCTGTCGTAAGCATGAAAATCATGAAATTAAATGCAACTTTATGTAATTGATTTCAAGCTTTGCTTTTAGCATGTGTTTGTGTGTATGTGAAATGTCTAGCAATACTTCTTACTTTAGTACAAGTTATATGAAAGAAAAATTCTGTTATGAATCCGTGATTAGTATAATTTATGGGAGATTGTAGCATCCTACGTCCAATTGTGTCCAAACTATTGGCTTCCGTCATACATCGTAGATTGTTCAAAGTCCGAGAAAGATTGACTGGTTTTGGTTCTGGTCGAGGATGTATTGATCATATCATCACCCTCCACCAAATGTTAGAACACCGTCATACTTATCACAGGCCAACAATCGTAATGCTTCCTGACATTAAGGCCACCTTCGACTCGTTGGACACGACTGTTCTCTGAGATTGTCTATTGAAGAAGGATGTGCCTGGGGAGGTTATTAACATCTTGATAGCCCTCTGCACTAACTAACTAACTAACTAACACATGAGGCAGAGTGAGGTCATACAACCACCTGTCTCGTTTGTTCCATTGAAGTAGTGGAGTTAGACAGGGTTGCGTAATCTCACCATTCCTCTTCAACTTTGCTATGAATGACGTTTTTGAAACAGCTGTGATGGATGTATGTGGTGTTGTTGTGGATCTGTTGCCTGAAGAAAGACTTTTCGAGCTTGAGTACGCGGATGATATTGTCTTAGTGTGGGTGGGTTGATACGTAAGTCATGCAATCCTGACATAATTAGTTGTCAATTAGTGTCTTTAGGTATGATGTGTACTCTGAACTTTCGAAGTGCAAAGTACTTTTCCAAGACTGTTAGGACCCTGATTCTGTACTCATTGTGGATAGTGAGCAGATAGAAGCAGTCAAGACTAGTTGGAAAGAAGGGACAGGTGGTCAGTGTATGAGATGGTGTGGTGGTATAAAAGAAAGCTGTACATGACTGGGTTCTATTGGTCCTTCACGACTCCCTGGCTAGAATTCTAGAGGTGGTGCAACACAGTGGCTAGAGACGTTATCAGATATGACTTAGAATGGAAGTTGGTGGCGATCCTGCTCTAACTTCCTCTTACTTTCTTCGTAATAAGTGAACGTGACTTCTTTAATTGACAGAATTTTTTCTGATTATTTTTTGTTAACTGAACTGTTTCTCCCAGTATTATCATTACTATTATTACTTCACTGTCTATAAGTCAGAATAAAGGTTATAATAAGAGGAACATGAATATGCATAGTTTGGTTATTTAACAATTATACAATAAAAATATATCTATAGTATTAGTCCATAAACAGAGCACAATAGTTACCATCCACCATCCATCTTGGAAAACCTGGAAGCAGTGGACGAATGTTTCGTCTTAGTATGAGACTCCTTAGTAGTGTGCATCCACGATCCTTCATGTAGGACTCGAACCTAAGACCTTCGGTCTCATGCACGAATACTTAACCTCTAGACCACTGAAACGATATCCAACGGTATTAATGTCTAACTTTTGTTATGGTGGGTTTTTTCTCTCCATCGGAATAGTTTAATTCTTAATATAATCAGTACCTTGTATTCTTAACTTGTATTCTTAGCTTAAAATGGTATTTTTAGTATTCAAGATTTGATTATAAGTATTGTAGTGAACAGAACACCAGTGGGGACAATCGAATGTATTTAACACAAAATCACAGAGCATCTCAATATAATCTGAGAACCATATAGTAAATGCTCAATTTGGTAAATGACCATCAATTGTCTCAAAATGACTCAGACTTCATTGTTCTTGCATTTTCATACAAATTACATTCTGTTTCCATTCTTTACTGTTTGGTCCTCTTGTCTCTCTGCTGCCAGACATTTTATTCCTTACTAATGTCATATACTACTTATGTCAATATAAGTAGCACACACCACAGTATATCTATCGAATTATTTAAAGTCTACATTTAAAATCAAATCCCTATCAATATCAAAGTAAGGACAGCACTTTAAGATCGTCGAATTAAATTATAGAGATTTACTGCATTTGACATTCATCAAGGATTTATCATTTTAATTCTTGACTTTGGCTAATTGAAGATATACATGTCCAGCTTCATTATGTATAAGAGATTATCTTCTACTTCAATATTCATCCCATTTTTTGATTTCAGTTACTAACTATTCTTTATAGTGTGAGTAAACGTTTTTTCCCTCTTCTATATGTGGTGGTTACCTATTGAACGGTTGGACTATTAAGTATGAGTATAGTATCGGAATCAATTCCTGTTGAGTAATAACAATTTGAATGTAGTTTTCATCACGAACTGTATACTCTGAAAGCAGAATAAAATTGATGTTTATTTTTTTGCATTATCTTCATTATTGTTTGACATTAGTTCACAATAATAGAAGGTACTTTTTAGTTGTAAAAAAAATCTTCACATGTAAATCACTGTCAATCATCTGTTTATTAGTGATTAGCTTCAAGATAAAACAAGGATGGTTATCAGTGGAATCAAGGATGTGCATTTCTTCCTATTAGGGATTCGTCAGTTGAATGTACTTGCATCTTCACAGGACGCACATATATCAATAAGAGACTGATCACTTACAGTTCTAAACATCAATAGAAAGATTCAAATAAACAATACAAAACAAACTCTAAACTAACCTAATTATAATTCATTTGGTATTGTTTTACTTGAATCTTCCCATTGATGTTTAGGGCTACAATTGATCAGTGTGTTATTTGCATATGTGCATACTGTGCACGTCCTGAATTCCACTGCTAGCCACTAACCATCTTTGCTTATAGTGCCTGTAAATTAAGGCAATATCGAGTCAATACGCATAGTGAATTAAACTTCACCTCATTTCACAAGCAAGTGGCTATCATGACTCAGTAGGTAGGTGAATAATGCGAGATGGCGTTTGAAACGAACGGTACTGAGTTGGAGTCCTAGAGTGAACATCAACTCTAAGATTCAGGTACATCCAGCTGACGAGTCCGAAATAGGACGAAACGCGTATCAAACTGAATTCCACTGCTAACCACTATCCATCTTTGCTTATAACTTAATTATAACTTACCATCATTTACCATGTAATTTATCTATCTAGATACTATTTTAACTTTACTTATAAGAGATGTCGATTTTGTTACTACATCCAATGACATAATCATTTGAAAAGAAAGAAAGAAAAAGAAATTCGTTATCAATTTTATATTTTGAAAAATGTTACATAATCGTTTGTACAAGAGTCATACATAGGAACTAATAATAATGATATCAGTTAATTGACTGACTATTGGCTATATATATATATACATTGAATATTGAAATAATTGTAGGCGGTTATTTTGTTATGGCGGGTTCATTCATTATTTCTTAATATGTGTATCATCCGATGATAAGTAAGAAGATAAAGAGTAGAGAAAGAGAAGGAAACAAAGAGAGAAGATTATACACTAACGTTTCAATACTTCTATTCATTCTATTTTAATTGTATCAAATAATGACAATGGAAATGAATAAAAATTGTTACAAGTATTGAAATATTTCAGACTATATTACTCTACGATAATGATGATGATTCTATGTCCGGTAAAACGTCTTCAATTCATTGTATTGATAGTTTTGTTGTGTATAAGATGAGTGATAGAAGTGAATGAAAGTTACTTAGATACATTGTTTAAGCATACGTATGTGAGTGAAAATAAGAGATTTTACATTGTAAAGATGGGCAAGATGTTTGATGTTGTATTTGGTCGTCGCTGATTGTTGTGCTGAAAAAAAAAGCGCTGATCGCTTATACTCGGAACGAGGGACCTCTGCAATCCCCACGACGCGAAATTAAAACTGGTATAAGTGAAGATTTATTAGCCCCAAAACACTATGACAACGACGAATCGAATCTAGTCTCAAATACACTGGTTGATTGTACACCCATTTTTATTAATAATTTGGATTAAATCACATACTCAGTTATAACAAATCGCAAACTGTGAGCATAGTTCATGTCAACTGAATACAAGAATATCGTATATTATACAGAATAAAATATCATAATGGGGAAACAAATCAATTACTACACTGAATGATCCTCATGTTGAATCAAAACGGATGTTGAATGTTGAACAAAACTTATAATGAGTAAATCAATTGAAAATTGACTTTTCTTTCCATCAAATCAAGCAATAATTAATCTACTGGGTATAACTCGGGTCCTAACATTTGATTTCTAGTCACTAAGTCATATGTTCAAATTACCAATTATCAATCAACCAAGAGAGGTACACGAATTTGTACCTGATGAGTGAAATAACAGTTTGATACACATGTGGTTAATAGTTGTTGTAGTCTATTCTAATCAGAAACTAACTTACGTGAATGAATACTTGATCAGTTAAGTCCCCTAACTTCTCCAGCAATTTTAATCGGAAGCGCACATATTACTACCTTCGTCTGTCTGGTTGCCTGAAATCGGACAACTCGTCAAAGACGGAGCCTCTTTTTATTTGGGCAAATTAGTTATGTGTGTTATTTACTTTATATATTGGGAGTCTGAACTCAAAGTTGGTATTAACATTGATTACTGTCAGTTCAAATATTTGAAATGAATCAGAAGGAGCTTTTATAGCACTATAATCAATGTCTGCATCATCATTTGTGTTATTTCCTTATGACCTGCTAATTATCACGTGATACGATCGCCAATGAAAACATCGACTTATTGACCAGATCAATCACACATAAACCAGTATGAGTAGCCTAGAGTTCAATTCTGAGTTCTTATTAGATCTTCAAAATAGTAGCTTCTCGTCTAACTGAGCCAGTTTATTCTAAAACATCTTCATATATGAATCTTTTCCTATTTCTAAAATGAACATAAACACTGGAATGCAGTTGATCAGTTATAAATGGAGTGTAACTTATGTTGTCGATTCTACTGCTAGTTAAAACCTATTTATTTAATAATGAATGATCATTTATCAACTTAGATTGACCAGCATTCAATGCTTAATATCAATAATAGATTAATATGTATATATACCTTGAAAAATAATGATGTGTGTCGACCGCTTCACTTATCTTGGAAGTCTGATCAGCCCTTGTGGTCTGGTGTGTGACGAAATCTCAGCACGGATACAGAAGGCTCGACTAGCTTTTGCCAACTTGCGTCATTTATGGCGTAGGCGAGATATCCGTCTATCAACCAAAGGACGTGTTTACTGCGCAGCAGTTCGTTCCGTCCTACTTTATGGCAGTGAAACATGGCCGGTAAGAGTAGAGGATATCCGTAGGCTACTAGTATTTGATCATAGGTGTCTTCGAAACATTGCTCGTATATCATGGGACCATCGAGTAGGTAACACAGTTGTTAGGAAACGGGTACTAGGTAAGGATGGCAAATCAATTGATGAAGTAGTGAAACTTCATCAGTTGAGATGGCTGGGACACGTGTTACGTATGCCCAACCACCGACTGCCTCGACGTGCTATGTTCAGTGGTATAGGAGTAGGTTGGAAGAAAGCTAGGGGCGGCCAAACCAAAACATGGCACAAGTCCATGAAGTCACTGACAAGTGAACTGAGTCATGTTGGTAGGTGTAGACTACCTGGTTGGGGACCGCGAGATGATAGCAACCGATGGTTAGAGACCCTGAATGACATGGCTCAAAATCGTTTGCAATGGCGCAGGTGCATCCACTCCCAAATTCTAATCTTCTGAATTCTTCATGTCCCTTTTTTCCTCTTTCCAAATTTATTTCACTGGATTATACTCCTTAAATAACATCTCCAAACCCTAATCTTTCCGATTACTGCTTATACTCTTATTACCTCTACCACTACTGGATTTGAATCGACAACTGCATCTCTGTGCTAATGTAGTGTGGCAACTCGAACTGATGTACGTACGTACGTACGAAGTTCTACGTTGTTACTGACTGACTGAAAATAATGATGTAAGATATAAAACTCATATTATTATGAAGTAGGATTTCGGCATCATTTTCTAATCTCTACTCTGTCAATAATTTAATTTGAAGAAAACAGTATAACACCACATTGAATAACTTGTTCAATGTATATAAGAATAGTAGTGAAAGGAAAATATAAATCACTTTATATAGAGGAAAAATTGAAAAAGACAGATTTTAAAGTAAAGTGGGAAAGAAAAAAAAAATAATCCAGTTGTAAAAGCATTATCACACCCTTGTTTGTTTCCTCTTTCTTTCTCTCTTATTTTCTCTTTCTTTATTGTTTTCTTATGCTTCCATTTAAGATACTAACTAAATCAAATCTGTCATTTGATACTATCAATCATTCTTTGTTAGCTTGTCCTTTAATGAACTCAATCTTTGTACATGTATGAAGAGAAAATTAATAATAATAATAATACTGTTACTACTACTACTACTACAAGTAATAATACTTCCTTAAGCCTATTATCCGCGTGACTTTCGTAACCAATGGTTGGAGACTCTTGGTGACATGACTCAGAATCGATCACAATGGAGTCGGTGTATACACTCTCTGTCTTCTCTTAAACTAAGAGATTAAAATCACTTTATATCTTTCTTTTTACAAACCAATTCTTTCTTTTTGTACTATATCTCTATATGCAATCTTTCTTTTATATATTACCATCTTTGACCTAACCACTGCTATGAATCCGGTGTTCATCTTGTTGTGCTGATGCGGTATGGCAACGTGGACCGATGCACATATGTGCCTGGTCCTACGTTATAGCTGACTGACTGACTGATTATCCGTCATGTTAGAGTATAGATCACCCACCAGTATTTTGCATCGAACTCTGTTCTTGGCAATCCTTCTCAGTTGTTATTCATCCTTTTGATGTTTACCTCCGATTCCCGATGTATTGTGTAATAGAATTGGTATAATTGTTAAATGTTCTAGATTATATACATGTGTATCATTCGATGTTGTAGACTACCTGGGTGGGGCTAGTGTCATCAATTGTTAGGTACGTTGAAAAACTTGGCTCAAAATCAACTACATTGTCGTATATGCAGTCACTTTTTTTTGTTTTTCGGTAAAAAAAGGTTGTGCCTAAAATTAGCTCACCTCCTCTGTCCTTAAAGATCTTAAAACAACAATTTGGTGCGGGTAACCATTTTATTGTCGACTACAAAATTGCAGAATATTTTTGTAAATTATGAAAATCATACAATAAATACTTCATTTGCCCTTTACATCCTTCATGCTTCTGCCGATTGTCGATTCCATTATGTTTCCCTTTCTGTTTTCTTCAGTTCAATCTTCTCAACCTTCTATTGACAGACATTCCACTTCTGACTAGTCTTAAGTACTACTGTAGTGAACAAGAACACCAATGGAGACAATCGAATGTACTTAACACAAAATTACAGGACTTGTTAATGAAATCTAACAATCATAAAGTAAATGAATAATTTGCAAAATGTCCACCAATTGTCTCAAAATGACTCAGACTTCACTGTTTTTGCATTTTCATACAAATTGCATTCTGCTTCCATTCTTTACTGTACGATCCTCTTGTCTCTCTGCTGCCAGACCTTCTGTTCCTGACTAACATCATCTACTACTTATGTCAATATAATTAGCACACATCACACTACTTATATTTGTTAACATAAGTACCATACACCACACTTGTCGTCCCTCTAATAAGCTGTTCTTGCAGTCATTTCGATCGCTTAAAAAGCGTTTAATACTTGTTTTTGACTACTTTTTTCTGTCTTTCTCTTTTCATCCCATTTTTTTAGGTACATGTGTTGCAATAGCTACTGTCCTAATATTAATCATAAAATTTTCAGTACATACATTTGCACAAAATAAAGAACCATGGCAAACTGGAAAACATTTGAAACAAATAGTTAATTATATTATTACTGGTGTGACAGTATTAGTTGTTGCTGTTCCCGAAGGTTTACCACTTGCTGTAACTTTATCATTGGCATATTCAGTGAAACGTATGATGAAAGTAAGTCTTTCTATCTTATTCATAATTGATATTGCCACTGTTGTCATTGGCTCGTTCTTCTTCCTTTTTTCTTTTTAAATGAAGATAACCTTTTATCATGAATTGATTTTGATCAGACAATTATTTGAAAAGAAAACATAAGTAATTGAATAGCTGTTTCTTTCTGGTATTGAGACATTTCAGTAGTTTGTACACTTTCATGATCCCACTAGGTAATCGAATATATGATCGTTGAATGTTGCGATGAACATGACATCTGTAGGCTAGTGAAACAGTATTTAATTGTTTATGGATTCAGAGTCAATCATTTATTAGTATAGAGCATCTATTATGCAATAGATCTGATATTAACTGTTCCAGTTTCATCATGGTTGAATATAACCGGTCATGAATTGTCCAATTACTTAGCTCTAATATATCAATTATTCTAATGCTTCCCTTCTCTATACTTTATATTTTTCTTACTGTTAGAATATAAATTCAACATTATTTTAACTAGCCGTCACTCATATTCGAAATTGTTTAACTATTTCAATGAATAATTGTTCAGCTCTTTTGATGGAACTGCATTTTTACATATTCGCACTGTTCTACGACAACTGTTCTTTGTGTCTGTGTGTGTGTGCGCGTGTGTGCGTGTATGCGAGTGTATGTAACTTGGTAAATTTTCAATAATGTAATTGTCAAATTACTTAGTTTAACTATAATGTTATTAATCTGTTTTTTTGCTGATTATTCAATCAATTTTGGTCCAAATTGCTTTACAATGTGATAATTCATCGGTGAATATACTATAAAATCTAATCTTAGAAAAATAGATAATTTCAAGGTTTTATGTATATTTTCTCCTTGAAAATTGTTAATACCACTAATAGGTAGACATATATCTATCTGTAACTCTTTTCCCGACCGTTGTTGCAACCATGACGTGGTGATCGGGCTTGACTATCGTGATGAAACAATAGAGTTATACTGACTGGAACAATCGTTCCTCAAGGTCCTACCATCCCAGTCAGGCAAGCTGGTTGAGGAACGGTAAGACTAAAAGCAACAAACTCAAGGTCCGAAGGCGAAGTCGTACTGCTGACTGTACAGAGGTGTGACAACAGTAAAGTGTTTCCTTCAGACACCCAGCATGACAGCGATGCTGCCTTCCCATAAAGAGTGGTGAGGTTAGAAAATGTTGACCCTAAAAATACACACCTTGTCTTATCCCACGGATAACCATCTCCGGTGGTACGGTCTGAACAAGTACGGAGCTAACAAAAAAATTACTCATCAAGAGGTCGTATATGATCGACCTCAAGCAGTTGTCCCTTGGGCACTGTGGTCACACTCTCAGGTCACTAAGACCACCTCTAATCCAATTTCCTTTTCAGTTGCATCTAGAAGAACCCTTCCACGGTGTGTGCAACCGGGAAGTGATAACCGCCCTCATACCTCTAACAGCACTCAAGACCACTGACTGACTATAACGCTTGTTTACCCGGAAGTATGCGATTATGTTTCAGTGCCACTCGATAAACTTTATGTTACACTAGTCAACATAATGACGAAAAATGAATAAAACTGATGAATGGAGACACTAATGATAACTGGTATTACTCGGTGCAATAAATACATGAATTGAGCCAACAAATTTATTAGTTATAGAATACAGTTGCTCTTCTGTATTGATCAAAGCATAGAAGAAAGTATATTTAAATATCTTGCTTTTTATGACTATGGATTCATTGTCTGGATGATATCGGATTTTCAAAAATCTCGACACAGTCGAGGAATATGTTAACATTAACATCATCGCTTATACTAGTTGGTATGCAGACTTTATGGTGCTGTTATATTGTAGATTAATCGTTCTGAGAACCTATGTCATCGTTAAACACTCCAACAAGTTACAAAGCTAGGAACTGAGTTAATAATTATAAGGGAAACTTCATTATTAACTAAATAAATTGGCTTCCGTCATACATCGTAGATTGTTCAAACACCGAGAAAAATTGACTGGTTTTGGTTATGTTCGAGGATATATTGATCATATCATCACCCTCCGCCAAATGTTAGGACACCGTCATACTTATCACAGGCCAACAATCGTATTGCTTCCTGACATTAAGGCCACCTTCGACTCGTTGGACACGACTGTTCTCTGAGATTGTCTATTGAAGAAGGATGTGCCTGGGGAGGTTATTTACATCTTGATAGCCCTCTGTACTAACTAACTAACTAACACATGAGGCAGAGTGAGGTCATACAACCACCTGTCTCGTTTGTTCCATTGAAGTAGTGGAGTTAGACAGGGTTGCGTAATCTCACCATTCCTCTTCAACTTTGCTATGAATGACGTTTTTGAAACAGCTGTGATGGATGTACATGGTGTTGTTGTGGATCTGTTGCCTGAAGAATGACTTTTCGAGCTTGAGTATGTGGATGATATTGTCTTAGTGTGGGTGGGATGATACGTAAGTCATGCAATGCTGACATAATTAGTTGTCAATTAGTGTCTGTAGGTATGATGTGTACTCTGAACTTTCGAAGTGCAAATTACTTTTCCAAGACTGTTAGGACCGCGATTTTGTAGTCATTGTGGATAGTGAGCAGATAGAAGCAGTTGAGAAGTTTGTGTATTTGGGTAGCCGCTGTTCAGATAATTGGACTATGAAACGTATATTTTAGAAAAGACAAGGGTGGGAGGGGCTCAAAAAAGTAAACGAAGAAAAAGTATGGAAAATAATAATAAATGAAATCACTTAGTAAGGCCAAGAGAGAGGTATGGGGTTTATGAATTTCTTATAAAGACAAGGTCTTGGATTGTTAGCTTGAATTCCTATAGCTTCTGTTATGTCTATGAGACGAGATCGAACCCCATAATGAGAACTAGTAGGAACACGATAAATGACTTTAAACGACCAATTTCTGTCTACTACATGATCGCTATCGATCGGATGTGATTTAATAGAGCTGTGTATTGTTTTCACAGTACATTTTCCTCACTACGAAGGGAGGTGTTCACTAACGCTTTTGCCCAGTTGTCTGATCCTTAATACATATGCGAATAGCAGGCCGGCTTGAGGAAATAATACGGAGCTTAAGTGAATAGAACGTTGTATTCATGGATTTTGAGATCCGTTTATTCAAGATTTAAACGCTGGTATCTCCTGTAAATTATATACGGATGTTGAAATCTTGAATAAACGGATCTCAAAATCCATGGATGCGTTAAGGATAAGCTTTCGCTTTGGGCCACATCAATATGCATCTATAAATTTGCTTGCTCCTGTGGGGCAGGTTACAGTGGCTGCACAAAACGATCACTTTCTAAACGCATCTCAGAACACAGTCCGGCATGGCTTTTAAAACAATTACCAGTTCAATCTAGGTGCATCCAATCAACTCTGGACACATCGCTCTGAACGAGCTTTCTGTTGAAATAATCTACACAGTTGAAGGAACGGGATCGAAGAGAGGTCGAATCAAAAACTTTCGTACTGTTGAGACATTGGCGATCTACCAATTCAAGCCCGAACTCTGCGTGTAACAACGATACATCCAACCTCTCATCCTTTCTTGACCTTAATTCCCTTCTATGGTATGTTTTGGGCTTGTTTTTTAAATTAAAGTTCTGTGATTTCAAATTGTAATCAGTTATTAATATTCACTTTTTATCATTATGACCTTTGTGTATTTCGTTTTTCTTCATATCCGTCAAGTGGATGACTATCATAATTTTGACCTGTAAATTGTTTTCATCCTTCTATTATTCTCTGACCCTTTGAGTATTGCGTAACATCGTTTGATAATAAGAATCTCGGATCCCTTTATGATGCAATTTTCTCTATCATTGTACAGACATATATTTACCATACAACCATAAATACGAATGTACAGCTTAAGTAAATGATTTCAGCGGCACGAGAAAATTTTGTTCGCTGAATTCTCTTTATTTTAATTCAGTGATACAATGGGTTATTTTAATTACTACATAATAATAATGATAATAATAACAATGATAAGTTGAGATGATGGTGGCTAGCGGTAGAATTCAAGATGTACGTTTCGTCCTGGCTGGAACTCATCGGTTGGATGTACCTGTATCTCAGAGTCCTGGAGTGAACATCGATTCTGGGATGCAGGTGTATCCAGCTAACGAGTCTCAGCTGGGACGAAACGGGCGTCCTGGATTCCACTGCTAATCACCATTCATCTTTACTTATAATACTAATGATGTAAGGCGATTCGCTCAGGTTTCATATATGCTAATAAGAGACTGATCAATTGCAATGCTAAACATTAATGTGAAAACTCAAGCAACCAATACAAAAATTAATAATACTGATAGTTTATAGTTTCATTCTGGTCCTTATAACAACAATTAAAATTGTCAGTAAATATTGATTTTTGAAATGAACTTTTTTGAAATTGTCTTCATCATAGATTGATGACCTTAAGGTGTTAGATTCAATAATCTTGAAATGAAATAGTTGTCTATTAGCTATTTGGCTTTCAGTTCTCCAGGTGAAATCAACTTATAAAAATAAAAGTAATTAGAGAAGTGAATAACTCTCTCCCTCTCTCTCTCTTTCTCTGTGTGTGTGTGTCTTCCCACAAACCAACCACTTTGAGCATAAGACAAATATCATCATTAATAAAAGATGATTGCTTCACAATATTCCAAATTGTAACTGAAGTTAGAAATGTAAACTATTAAATACTCAATAGTCTAAAGATTGAACTCTCATCAAGAGATCTATGAGTCCTTGATTCCATTCATAGTTGAGTCACATCTATACAGTACTGAAGAGTCTTACATTCGGACGTAACAAGTCCCTTCTAGTTTTTAGTTGTGTTCTTTTTTTATATCCAACTGATGTTAATACTACTTACTAGATATACTGTCATTCGAACTTCATGAAGTTAATTTCTTTTCCCCCTTTTCTAAAAGCCTCTTATTTGTCATTAAAATTATAGTGATTTTTCCTCTCTCTCTCTCTCTCTCTCTC